TATATATCACTGTTTGACAACAGTATCAGAGTTGAGAATCAAGAATTTCAACAAAAAAAGAACAAATTTCGTTTTTTTTTTTAAAACACTGCATTCCACCAATTCTGATAAAACACGTTTGCAAGAGGTAGAAAATGTCTCCTACTTGTCTGTTGTGACATCATATAAAAAAAATGGCAACGGCTTCAACAATTAATCACACATTTTACATTTGATATCTCATTTTATAGCTGTACGCATTATGTTGCGCTTTCTTTATTTTCCAGTACATTGCTAGAGGCAAAGTCATTTTGTCATTCACACCAGAATATAGCACTGAATTCATTTTGTAATTATGGTTTATTTACAACAAGACATGAATGTGGCATAAAGTCATCTAATGGTGTTTCTTGCATTGCTATTCTGATTCCCAAACAAATGACTCTTATGAGCCAGTTTTTTTTTTTTATGAATCAATCTGAAAGATTTAAGTTGTTGGTTTAATATCAGACTGGCTCATTCACACAGTCTTTTGATAATCAAGGCATTACTTTTGTGATGTCTACTTCTCAAAGTATTTTTTGAGACAAAGAAGTTAAATTCCCTATTTATGGATAAAAAGAAATAAGGGTGGGGGCTGAGTACCCTTCAGAAAATAGAGAAGAGGAAGGTCATTTGAGAGATTTACAGTGTGGCACTCCTCTAAAACACATACATCCTGTAATTAACCCTCCGCTGGCCCCCAGCGTTTCCTCAGACCCTCCCCCTGAGTAAGAGCTCTCTGCTGCTAATGAGAGATCAGGAACACTGGAAGAAAGCAAGAAGGAAAGAGAAAGAAGGAGCAATTTAACCCGTTGCTCAGCTACCAGCACTGTTTTTCTGCCTGTGCGTGATTAAATAGCGAGACCTTTTTGGCACATGAGGCTTCTGTTATCGTTCAGATCCTTCAGCCTTTCACACGTTTGTTAGATATATTGCGTTAATTAAAACTAAAGATCCAAATTTTACATTACATTTTTTAATGTGATAATTTATGAATCATCATAAAAGTAATAGTTCTGGTCTTCTGGAACACTAATGGCTAGCTTGCTGAATGCTGGCTGCATATTGCATGCAGTATACTGTGCTGTATTGTTATCACATTGCCTCACTACATTTGTCATATCACCTCATCACATTGCATGTTTAATTCAGCAAGTTATCATTTTTGTTGGCCTGCATTTTATGGACACTATTTTTGAAAATAATAATAAATAATTACAAGGTTTATTTATTATTTATATAGCACCTTTCATATGTAAAATGTATAATTAAATTAAAATTAAATTAAAATAATTCTAACATGTAATTTCATATACATATATATATATATATATATATATATATAGATGCACAA